ATTGTACCCAGCAGTAGAGAATACCACCTCCAAACACCATGAGTGCACCAATGATGTGGACAACTGAAACGGCATCTTCCTGTCATGGATTGAGTAAACAGTGTCAAAAATATCTAATGTTTACATGCTGTAGTGCCAACTGTTTTTAGCATCTAAAATTCACCTGGTCTCTTAATAAAGATATTCTTTTGACTTCTAATAGGACTTATAAGCCAATTAATTTTAAGAATGTTTAGGTACAAGGTATGTAATGAGAGAAATATCCATAGTTGCGTTACACATGTAGCATTATGCATCTGGTCACATGTGCTTCAATTTGATAGATAGATTAGTCATGTGAGAAAGAACTTGTACCTTTTTTTCTTTTGGAACATGAGTGAAAGGGAGAGCATGTTGAAAGATTGTTACCGACTAGACTGATCGATTGTTCGAGATTGTGTTCTTGGGATTGTGAAAATCTACGTGAAGAAATTAAAAGATTGTCAATACAGTCCTCAGACAGTGCAGGATTCTAAAAGACAATATACAGAACTGTCAAAACTGCTCCTGGAGCATTAGCATGTATGCAGTAGCATGCATATTCTTGCACCACTCTGTACGAGAACTTTGGTAAACTGGGTGTCAGCTCTGATCAAGCAGAAGCATCCACTTAGCAGCCCCATTATATGACTTGTTGAACACTATCCAATCATCACCTTGCTTTTATTTCTCTATCGACTTTACTTAAGTCAATAGGACTAAGATCTCTCAAAGCCCTATCATGCTAATGACATTCATTTTTTCCTCAGAAGAAAAATATATTAAATGTTAACTTATTTCATGTATTTGCATGAATTATCCTGTGTATCCTTAACAACTGGTGAGTGCATTTGCAGAATATGATCTCTATTAAGCACAATTAGAAAACAGCCCTAAGAAAATATGCACGCTGATTGGTTAAAGATTGTGTTTCTATAACTCAATAGCAACACAGAACTAGAACAAGCTGTTGACGTAATGATGGCATGAGCAAAAAGAATTTACATTTTGATGATCAAAGTAAACAAGCTGGTTTTCTTTTCTTCGTCATGGTATTTTCTAAAAGAAATAGAAAACATGTTCTCCGTGTTTCTATTGAGTTATAGAAACACTCATGAAAGTTTGGGAGAACTCGAAAAAGCTGTGGAAACACTCACCTGCAGCTTGTGTTCCCATAGCATTTCTCGTTCTCTTAAACTTCCACTTGTGTTTCTATAACTCAATAGAAACACGGTACATGTTTCCTATTTCTCAATAATTGAACAATAACAACAGCCAAGCTCTTGTAAAATGAGCGTCTTGCCCTGCAAAGTTGTTAAGGCTTCTCTCCGCCTTTGCTGGTTCTTACATGGAAGCAACATAGCAAGCTTTAGCACATGTGGGCGTGAAAACTGAGTGTGGGATTGTCTGAAAAGCACAGGACTCCAAAGACGTTTTTATGCAATTTTGTATTGTAGGCAATCAGGAAACTTAGGACTTAACATTAAAACATATTTTAAAAACTTAAGCAGATAAATTGCTGATATTGCCCCTCCCTCAAGATGATTGTTATTTATTTAACAAATGCCCCACCCTGGGACAGGAAAAATTGTCAAATTCCCCCAAAAAGTGCCCAGAGGAATGAAGTGGCTTGGAATGGACCTTTTCACCAACGTCACACTCTTCCAATTTTTTCACAAAAGATAAACTTCACTGCTTGATTTATCATGCTGAGTTTCTTTAATATATGAACGTTCATTAGATTCCATTGCAAACTAATAAAACTATGGGATTCCTAAGTTACAAAGAAATGTATGCAGCCAGGGGGCTACTCTTGCCCCCTGGCATATATTGATTTTCATTTCTTTGTAAGTTTGGGGTCCATATTTTTGAGTTTGCAGTGGATTCTTATCACACTTCATGGATTTACTAAATTTGGCACGATAAATTCAACCATGGAGGTTTTTTTTTTTTGTTGATTTGAAAATTATGAAAAATTATTGATATAATTTGTGTGACATGGGTAAAAAGGTCTATTGATCCTGACATTTACAGTGTGTGATTTTAAATAATTATTATTGTCATGCAATACCACTGAGTAGTCCACACCTATAAATAGACTATTCCTATATGGTTTCAGTTTTGTTTTGCTCAGTGAAGATTGCTGTCTGAATTGATGTTTAGGGTATAAATTTGAGTGATTATTGCTTCTCATTGACATAGCTAATGTTTTCTTTTGTTTATTAAAAGATACACTTATGTCTGAGACCTGGTTCATACGTCGTATTTCTGTTGTGTCGAATTAAATTTAATTAAATGCGGCAGAAATGTGATTGTCAATTCGGACGTTACGCTTGTGTCGAACTTAGTTCAGAATTAATACTGCCGGGTATGTAGGTCAGTGGAAAATGTTTTAAATGTAGAGTATTCAATATGGCGGACCAAGATACTGAGTGATGAAGCTCTTAAATTTTGTGAAAAAGTATCCGCTAATGGAACAAGAAGGGGAAGGCTGACAATGCAGCAGTATGTGTTGAATTATGTTCAAGTTGCATTGGGTCCAGAATGGCGGAGTTTCTTCATTTTCTTTGGAGGGACCAAATTTATGCATGCTCAAACATTAACATAAAGTATGTATTAGATTCGAGACTGCAGAAATTTGAGGTTTGAATCAGCGTCGCATTTCTGCTGGATAATGAGACAAGACCAGTCAAACGTGTGGCAGAAATGCAGTAGCTGATTCAGATGTCAGATTTCTGTCTAATTTAATTTGTTGAATTGAATTCGACATGGTAGAAATGCGATGTATAAACTGGGCCTGAGGGTTTCTGCATTTTTCACTATTTTCTCCAAGAGTCATGGCACAAATTGACAATTAATACAGTGTTTGCGGTGTTATAAAAATTCAATGATTCCTTCACCAGCTGAGCTGCTATACAGTAAGGGGTGATGGTAAACCTGTGATGGTCATCACAGACATTTCCTACTTGACTGTCATGGGACCATCACGGCAAATTACTAATTTAATTAGTAATTATTAATTGTAGTAATTAGTAATTTTCCGTGATGGTCCGTCCATAACACTTTGTGATGACACGGCCAGTATGTGTTTTACCAATTTTGACCATCATGGATTGTGTCTACTCTATCATGGGTTTTTAAATCCACTACGCGCTGACAATTTCACTGCATAAAGGATAAAGGTTACTGCCAAATTCTTCGCCAAACCCTCTCGTGCTTAGATGAGGCTATGTAAACACGGATAAAGTCCTCTGTTCCTAAATGTAAATTTGCCTTGCTCACCTGAAAATTCGCCACTACGCTTGCACCAAGACTAGAAACTATGCCAAACACCAAGGCTACTTTGTTGAGCCTGATAAGGACAAATCTGTCGCTCTCGTTCCAATCCGCGTCGTGCCTCAGCTGCAGATATCGTACCAATGCCGTGACCAGCCCCACAACTGAACAGAAGTTGAATAGAAATCCGAACACATTGCTTTCTGGTCTTCGATCTGCTGTGTCGCTGATGGTCGGAAACCAAGACGTGTCGTTCCGAACGAAGGAGATAACGTAAGTTATCACGAACGTTGCTAGAGAGAGAACTGCTAGAAGAAGCGGAAGAAGGCCAAGTCCGCAGCGACGACACATAACCAAGTCGAGCTGTTGATCCTTTGAAGGGATGTTCGACTCCGCAGACACACTTACACCGAAAATACAGGTAGTTATGCTTCAGGAAGCAGAAAAAATAGTATCATTTTCGGGACTGTCCCCGATAATGACTCAATACATGTGATATCCCTCATGTGCAATGTGAAAGTTGAGTATCGAAAGTTCACGAGACAACCCTCTTTGCACCCTCCGGCACTGGAGGAGTTTTGGTGACGTGGTCTACAAGTCCTTTTAGGGAGGGGAGGGTGTAGGTAGCAAATGCTATTTTATAATATACAACATAAATTAAAGCTACTTGACAAAAGAAAATGATTTCAAGCAGTAAAATCTCAGTTTTTCTTTGTGATGCTGCCTACAATTGGACGACTTTTTCCCAAAAGTTTCCTCAAAATTTTCCAATTAATAAAACTCCCCTCTAGGGCTTACTGGCGAACATTTTCAGCAAGCGTGGTTCCAAAGCGTTTTAGGGCGCGAAGTTTGGGAACCAAAACACATAAATAAGTACGGGCTTCGATGATTCAAGGCCCTGGCAAGAAAGATTTTGCAATGGAAGATTTTCATACAGATAATTCTGCAAGAAATGGGCCTCAAAATTGCGATTTTATTCAAGCTGCAGTTAATCGACCGACTAGTCGCGAATCGGTGGCAAAAGATGAGGAAATTTTCTTTCCATTTCCTTTCCCGCCATACGACATCCAGGAGGATTTCATGAAAACTTTGTATCACGTGCTTGAAAATGGAGGAGTTGGAATTTTTGAAAGTCCAACAGGAACGGTAAGTTGTAAAAGACAGCTGATATTGTTGGAAGGTGGTAAATAAGTTTGATCTGAGAACTCTGTTATGGGATTTGTTGTGTATTAAATTGTTTTGCTGGAGAGAAATATCCATACCCCTTCCATGTATAATTTTTTGGTTTGAGCTCCCNCCCCCCCCCCTCCTGCACCTGTTGGTGTCAATCTTGGATTGACAGAGGTTAATGTATGAAAGCACATCCCAAAGCCTTGGCCTGGCGCAGCTCGCACACAGAGATTTGCCTTCATGCACCATTGTCATTCTGATGCGTACCTTTTGCAGTTTGCTCTGTGCAAAGTTGTTTGTTAGTCATTCCCACCCTCCCTTTCATCCCCCAGTCCTTTCTCTCCCTGTTTTCCCCTGTCCCCTTTTTCCTTCTCCACTGACTTCAGCCAGCGTGAGTACGTAAAAGGCCTCGCCATGGTGTTGGTTTCCATAGCAACCGTTGAAGCACTGATTCCTCAGTTGGGTCCCTGCCTTTGATTCTGGGCCACTCCACTGGCACCTAGTCTCTTTGCATTTCAGCCATACCCCACCTTCGTTCGTTGCTTAGCACTACTATAAGTTTCAGTATTGCTTCATAGTTTCCTTTAAAAATGTTTTCTTTTGAAAGACCCCTCCCTCACGGAATTTCCAATAGCCCTCCTTGAGGTCAGGATGGATTTTTCCTGCAACTGAACTTAAGCAGCGGAATTATTTTTCACAGGGGAAATCTTTGAGTTTAATCAGTGGATCTCTAACCTGGCTCAAGGATTTTGAGGGAAGGCAACAAAAGGAGCTAGAGAATTCTCCAGCAAGTGCAAGAAATGTTACTGAGTAAGACAGTAAGATTTGCTGGAATTAGTACTTTACGTTTTCAGTTGATGAATTTGTAAATTACATGTTCATTGTACTTATATTTTGTTTTCAAAATGTTACACTACAGAAACTGTATTACTGCTGAAAGTAAAGATCCCTGTAAGTACTAGAAAATAACTTTAAAACTATTTAGAGTATAATCAGAAAACTTATGACAGAATTCTCCAAAAGAAGACAGGAGTTGATCATATGACCCATTTGCTAGTTGTTGAGCAATGTGAAGAATAGAGAGGAGAAAAAAAGGTAAGGGGTTTGGTTTTGCCAGGTCACTCTCACTAACCCTCATGTCCTTTTCCCTTCATCAGTCCTCACACCTCTCCCCTCCACAGAGGCTCAGGTGGGGAGAATCCGCTGAACGATATGAGTGCAGATGCAGAGACCCATTCAACTTTGTGCCTGCACTCACCTGGCACAGTGGATTTCTACAAAATTATGAACATTTGGAACCTCTGATAGGCCTCAGATTGCTGCCCAACTGACAAAGTGTTTTAAACAGGCTAACTTCTGTTCAATCATCTGATAACTTAAACGGCTACTGAGTTAATGAACATGCATCATAAGAACCTTCCAAGAGCTCTGCCTGGTGAGGAAAACTTGAAAAAAATTGTCCCAAGGGTGCTTGCTTTTCATTCCACGTATGTTTGATCCTTGTGTTTATGTATAATATAAATTTATTGTGGTTTGAATGAAAAAATGTTTTATATGGTTAAATTAAAAGTTTCTAAAATTTTCCCAAGAAGCAATTAATTTATTAGTCTCACATTGCCTTTCTCTACCCAAGAGCAAAGATAGGTTGGAAATGAAATAATAAGACTGCTTAATTCAGAGTGTAACATGCTAACCATCAAGTAACCATATCATAGCACAGGTCTCTGATTTATTGCGTATGTATGATGAAATGATGGGCAGATTTATTTTTAATAATAATATGTATATATTTTTTTTCACTGTAGCATCAACACCAGACTGGGTGGCAGAGTTTGCTGAAAAGCAAGCCCAAAGGGAAGCAGAAGACAGAATTAAGGTATTTTAAGGTTCTACTTTCTATGTATAATTTTTAATTTTTTTTGTTTAAGATTGATGTGATAGTTTTTTGTTTTTTTGCTAATGATGCAAACTTTTGCAGGAGAAAAGAGAGAGGCTTGAGGAACAGAAGTCAAAGCTTCAAAGAATCAAGAATGAAATAAGATCATCATATGCTGTCAAATCTGGAAAGAGGAAGGTTTGTTTGACCTAGAAACACAGCTTGCACCATGGAACTGCAACACATCCGGTGCCAATTGTCTTGTGGACTATAAATTTGAAATAACATAATTTATATTGGAACATGACTTATGAAATGAAATGGGAGGGATGAAATGGAAATTGAAATGCTCTATTTATTAACAAGTTTCTTCAACTTGTAAGTTATGTCTACTCAGTAGTGCTACACTTGTAGAGAAAGACAGTATAATAATTATATTTCATGGAACAAATTTAAAACTCTCAGTGGATATCTTAGAATTTTAACTACATGTAAGTTTATTCCTATTATATTTCCCTTCCCCACCTTTCTTTTAGCTTTTTAATGATCTTTAAATGTAAAGCGCCACAGATGATAAGTGGATCTGGCGCTATACACTGTCAAATATTTTTATTTGAAAATAAATAAAATAAATATACATTTATATAGCGTCATTTTCCACTAATTGTTCATGGCGCTTTACAATACTTTAAAATTAAAATCGTAAGTTTTATTTATTACTATTCATTATTATTAACAACCTAACAGATCATGAGAAACATTCAATTAAAAACCTTTGTTTGTGGGCTGATGGATATTACAGACTTTCTGTGTTAATATTCTCAGTTGTAACACCTAACCCAAACACCTGTGAGGGGACATGTCAGTAACAAATGTTTCAAAGAGTTTTCTACCTTGTTATGCCTGCATAAGCATGGTTGATGAAAGAGTTATTGAAAACTCCATAATAAATTACAAAAGTTCAATTCAAAGTTGGTTCCATCAATCCTTCTGTGGTCACAGGCTAGATGGATAGATGTCTTGACTACAGTGTATTACATAACAATCATTATTATATGGCAAGGTAGCCTTGAAATAAAGGGAAAAAATTGAGTTAAATCATAGCGTTCTGATAGGTTCTTTCTTGGTCAGGATTTTGCCTTACAGAACAATTCCAAGGAGTAGACATAAGTGCCGAATGTATTTTTATTTACCTGTAAAAAAATTGATTATCAAAAACATGTTATAGGGGAAGCCCTTTGAATCCAAGTGACCGAAAGTGCATTTCAACAGAAACATATATAAACAAACATAGCTGGAGTGCCATATATAAAACTGCTTACTAACTTAGCTTGCTTGAGCTGCACTGGGAAACATTTGGCCTCGATCATTTTTGTGTGGACCTTGCTGTGCTGTCTGTACTGCAACGACCTTGCACTGAGGCAGTACAGTGTGTAAGAGGTTAGTACAGTGTATTTACAGTAGCAGAGGCTAACAATCAGTAACAATGCTGTCTCCTTCCCTCCACTAGGCCACCCCCACCCCTACCACCACCCCATTCCCCCTGTTATACTGAGCTTCCATCTTGTTTAGCAAGTCTGGAGATATCATTGATCATTCTCTTATTAATTTGTATCCAGCATAGTGATGACAATTCAAGCAAAGATGAAGAAATGGAGCAGAAAATTTCTAAGGAAATCAATGAAGTCTTGGGCAAGACAAGTCTGAATGATCCTGATGCTGATATTGTGTTAACAGAGTACCTCAGTGACAGAGAAGAGGCTGAGTAAGACTTTAAAATTTACCTCCTAAGACTAGGGCTGTGTGGTTAATTTATTTTCAAGGTCTATAATTTTTTTCTGGGGAAAGTTCCTTTATAGAGGCACCAGGCCTACACATGTAGATGCATTTCTGATCATTATTAAAAGAACAAAGCCTCTGGCTAGCCTCTAAAGAAGCTGTTGTGATGAGGCAGCAGAGAAGTGAAACAATAAGATTTGTTAACCTTATTATCAATTACTGTTAAAGGTAAATAAACCACAGTTATGCAGAAAATTTTAAAGAGTTGAATGATGTTTTGAGCGTAATCATAAATCAGCTGCGTGTAAAACATGTATGAACTAGCTGAAATAGTTGTGAGGTGTGTTTGTTTAGAACAAGAACCCCCTCCACCTCCAAAAAAAAGTTTTTATTTGATCTCATTTCCTGAGGCCTGCCTTCTTGGGAAGGTGGTATGGGGTTTGAATTTATAAAGAGTAGGGATGTCTTACAAAATAAATGTGAAATTCTAGACAGGGAATTGGGCTCTCTCCTCTGCAGAGGCTCAAAGGTTTTTTTTCAGGTGGGGAGAATGTGATGAACAATATGAGTGTAGGTGCAGGGTTAAGCAAAGGGTGACAATGGAAGGCATGGGATCCGGCAATTCGACTTTGCACCTGCACTCACCTCTCACATCAGCTTTCTATAGCGAACATTTTGAACCTCTGCAGAGGAAAGATGGTTTTGGGGGCTTCATAATTACAAGGGAGTGGGTTTTTAAAGATTATTAACAAGTTTATTTTGTAAATAAGTGATTACTAACAACCCTGTGATGTGGGTAACCATGAACTTGTCTCTAGGTCAGATGAAGAAGAGGAAGATAAAGTTGAAGAACCTCATTGCCTAAAGGTACTATTAATTAAAATCAGATCCATGGGAGACTTACAAGTACGTGTCACAGTTATTGCTGGTATTGGTCAGTTAAACAAAATCCCCTTGTCCCAGTGTGACGTTTATATTAGCTCAGATGGCTGGGGAAAGTTTGGCTTACATTTTTTTCGAAGATAGTGATTATAGGTTTACAGGGCCATAGTCAGATGACAATTCTTATTGAGGCAATTAAAGAAACACTTCAATCAGTCTATCCTATCAATTTCTGTCATCTTAATTTTAATATAAAAATTAGCCTCTAGCAGAAACCTAAAATAAGGATTCAAAATAAATTCAAATTATTATGAACCTCAGGTCATGCACCTGTTACAAGCTACAGTCCTGGTTTAGCTTGTTACCTGTCTTGAATGGCTGATAATTTTCATTTTTTTTTTGTTCTTATGAAGTGAAAAAATATTTTACTATACTTTGTAAACCAAGATGGCACATCATAACATTATTTAAAACCCTGGCATCCAACACCTCAGTCTATACAGACATATTTGTTACGACATAATTTCTATTCTAACTGCACTACATCCAGATTTGCCCTTGGTTGTTGTTTTCTCCAGATATTCTATTGCAGTCGGACACACTCACAGCTGGCACAGTTTGTGAGAGAAGTTCAGAAGAGTTCGTTCAGTGACAGCACAAGGGTCGTGTCACTTGGATCACGACAGAATCTCTGCATCAATGAAGATGTTAAGAGCCTGAAAAATATTAACAGAATCAATGATAGATGTTTGGAACTTCAGAAGAATGACAAAGGTGGGTGCTAGCCAGATCTTGCATCATTCAGACAAGCTAGATGGAGATCTCATTTCCTTCAAAAAAGATCCCAGGTGGTTATTTCAATTAATTTGTTTTTTCTTCCCACAGAGGACAGGACATCTCTCAGGGATGGTGATGGCTATCATTTTTTAATTTTTTTTTTTAAAAGATCAATATATAAAAAAATGGTACTTTTCTGTGTAATAATTTAGGAAGTGTTGGTGATGGATAATTCTCTTCGTCAGCTATTAAAATAATGGAAAATTGGTGACGATTTAATTAGAACATTTCCTCCTTAACAAAATTCGACATTTTTTTTACTTACATGTACAGCTGGAACTTTATACAATATATTATAAATCAATGGGACTTACAATGTATTATAGTTAATAACAGTCAAACAAACAGTACAATAACTACTTTTAATACTCTCTTTTGCAGACTAACACATGACTTGTGTACATATTTGTAATTAACTAACTAAAGGCTGCATGTACATTGTTCTACAGACAATAAAAAAGCTAAAGGAGAGAATGCTCCAAAGAAGAAAAAACTTACCAAAGGTTGTCCATTTTATGCATATCAGCAGATGCAGAAGTTTAGGGACCATGTCTTGGTAAGAAGCATCAATTGACAAATTTGTACTTGAATTTGAACATATAAAAAATATGATTAGCAACTGTGACATCGTTTCAGGGGTTGACTTTCAGGAAAAAACCTTGGGGCAGCTGGTCCCTAAGTTTTCAGATTTAGTTGCCAGCAAAAGTATTTCAGTGAAAAGCGTGAAAAGTGAAAAAGTTAGTTGCCAGTGAAAAAAAATCAGTCGCAACGGCAAACTCTACATTAATTTTACTTTTTCATTTCTTTAATGTGCTTAAAAGTACTAAAAGTTGTCAAAGAGAAATTTACAGGAATTAGATACTGCCTGAGTTATAGGCCAAAGGATTGCTTTTTACATCATAGCAAATAAAATTTTACATGTAAGATAACTCAGTCTTAAGTAAGTTACTATATACTGTATTGTACACTTGGCTAGTACATTTTGTAACAAAAAAATATATGACTGTACAAGAAAATGTAACAAACACTGTGTGGATGGCATAATAGGCCAATCTGAAATTCTAACTTTGTTCTGAGGCTTAGGGGACTAAGACAAAATAAATAGCATTGAGGTCAAGAGAAGAATACAAATAATTAATCTCTTCATTTTTTTTTACTGGATATCCTTGAATTAGCGCCCCCCCCCC